CCTTTAAAATGAATAAAAACATTAGTAATGTGATAATGATAAATGCTTTTGCTGGATGATTTACAGAAAATGAGCTGCATTTCCTTGTGTAGATACTTATTAGATGATATGAAATGATAACACATGAACACTAGTTACTGAATGACAACTCATCGATCCCTTTTCATTAATATCCAATTGTAGGCTTGTGCAGATTCCACTTGTGTTGCTGACAATGAACCTTTTTCGATCTTCTCCAGGTTTTCAATGAGATCAGCTCCAGAGACATGGAAAAGATAAATGTGTTCAAAGGCATACTGAAAAACTATGTGTTTGTGGCTGTGCTCACTTGCACGGTTTTTTTCCAAATTATAATTGTTGAATTCCTGGGCACATTTGCGAACACAACTCCTCTCAGTTGGCAGCAGTGGTTCGTTAGCGTTTTCTTTGGATTTCTTGGCATGCCAATTGCAGCTGCTTTGAAGATGATTCCCGTGGTTTCAACTGAAATCTAAGCTAACAGACAGAAGGTACTTCCTTGGTCATCAAATTTTCTTAAGTTTTCTCCTTTTTTTCGTTCTTTGTTTTTTCTGTTACCTCATCGTACAGCAGTAGCATCATTGGAGCTGTAGAAATTTTTTTTTTTTTGGCACAGTAATTAATTCAAAGGCAACTGGGGCCATAGATGCCTTCGCAATGGTCGCAGATGAGTTGATTGGAAGCCTGAAACCATTACTGCTTGACTAAAAATTTGTTCTGAAACTCACCACTAACTAGTAAGCTTTTGTAGAAGTATTGTCATGTGGATTTATAAACCAAACCTTTTGTTTGACCATAAGAGTTTCTACTAGTATATGCTCTTCCACACCAACATGGAATTTGATATTCTAAATCAAAACCATGTCCTCTACCTGAGTGGATGCTTAAACTGCCCAAAATAATTATTGAAAAAATGGTCAATGATGTGAAAGATTGACTAAGAGTTATATTAGACTCTTGTGTAAGCGGGTTAAACGTAATCATATTAAGCCTGATATTGCTCCCCCTAAAAAATGCCAGTTTTCAGCAATTAAAATGTACTGGAGAATAAAATGAAACTATTTTTAGGATTTTATTTAACAATTTAAGTTTTTGAGTTGAAATAGTCTTTTTTTATGGTATCATATAGCATTGTCAACCTTACTACCTTTACTTTCTCATCTAATTAAGTATAAAACAATGATGGGCCGTTGCAACTTTTAATCCCAGAGGTAACATATAAAAATTATTTCTGGAGTCTTATCCAATAACTTAACTTTTGGGTGATTAAATAATTATGAGTTTGAATCTCATTATCTCATTTTTTAGGTGAATGACCAAGTTGGTCTATGTAAATTTCAAGTTTAATGATTTTTATTTGAGAGACTCTTAAAAAATATTATAAAACCATTCTTAAAATTTTACCTAACAACTTAAGCTTTTAAGCTTTTAGAATTTAAGTGTTGTATTAGAATAATATACATTGGTACTGAATTTGAAATCATTTGATGGACCGGATGATTTGATATGTTCAATTGGATTGGTACTCGATCTGAAATCATCTGATGCACTAGATGATCTGAAATGTTCAACTTAATCTTTTGTCAAGGAGATGAAACCGAGGCGTAATGGCTTTGTCTTAAGAATCAGTTTTTGCCTTGGACTTTTGTAGCCTAAGATATTCACAACAGCTGTAGAAAGTACAATTACGTGGCTGCCATCCAAATCAGCAATATTGATTGATTGGATGGTGAAGCGCCGGGAGAAATACGTGGTGACTGATGCTATTTTTGGTTGGTGTTGGTAGCCCATTAGTGAATACTGAATACCATATTATTTGGTGATGCTTTATGGTTGTAGCAGAAAAAAACAGAAATCATACTATGCTCGCTTAAGAAATTATTGTCAGCAGAGTAGAAAAGTCAAGGCAGTCTATCATCACTCACTAGTTGAATGTTAAGTTCAACCAAGTGCCAATTGGTGAACTACTTGAACAAGAGGAGCAATAGAAGTTAGGGTAAAAGAAAGAAACGCTAAGACAAAGTTGGGAGGTCTTAAATATAGATCCCAACAATGTCTGCATACGTTTATAAACAGTTATGATCATAGTGTTAAATAGCGCATAACAGACATTATTTAATGATTTTGACAACATGTGTTCTTGTTATTCGTCGTTATAATAAGAATCCAATTATTGTTTCACATAAATAAATGGTTATTATTTATTTTTTGTTTTTTTAACAAAAATTGAATCTATTGTACACTTTTTGATATGTTATCTATGTAAAATCTTACATCTTAAAATTATAATATATATTATTATTTTTTTCGTGATACTAAACTATTAAAAATTTTATTAATTTTCTTTTGTAATAAATTTAATTATTGTTGTATGATTTTAAATTACTAAAGATATTATTATGTTTGATTAGTAAAATTATTAAAAATATATATGAATTAGAATATATTTATTAATAGCGTTAATACATTTACGACATAAATTGTTATGATCGTTATGATTGTTATTTTATTATAACGATAAACTATAATTTACAATTATATTTACAGCTAATTTTATAACTACATATGTGATTTAAAACTATGGTCATGATCATGTCTAGAATTTATGCACCAGATATCTGTAAGTTGTGTTGACTGTGGATGTAAAGTAGAGGGCGACTATTAGTCCTCATACGGGTACATTAAAAAGTAACCGTACTACTACAAGGCTCCTGGTTTTTTTTTTTTTTTTAGTAAGGTACAGAAAGTTTCGCAAGATGAAATTAAGTGTTGATAATTTTCGGTCCAAGCACACCTTAGAACATGTTAAAAGTATTATTAAATGGTCTATGTGGATATATTGTAGCATCCAATAAAAATAAAGGGTTCATTTCAGTATGAAAGTTTAGTCTTCGTAATCTTAGTTCATTCCAATGTAATAATTCTCCCAAAAGACAACATCGTGCCCAGGCTGAAAATGTTGATAAATAGTTGCATCCTATGAGATCGATTCCTTGAAAGCGTTAACTGTAGATTGATCTCTCTCATCTGACGCGTTGAAAATATCTCTGTGCCCTCTTTGCAAGCCATCAAGTGGTCAAAATGGATTTGACCAAGCTCCTGGCAACCTCATAATACTGCCATAATTTTTAAGAACTTAACTTGATGCAAATAGCTAGAATGTACCCAATCAAATCAACTCATGGTGATGAACATTCAAAAAAGCAAAACTTCTTGCAGTGTTGCTGGTAAAATCCATTACTTACATTTCGTGTTTTCACAAATTCGAAAAGAAAAACTTTTCTATTATTTCTTTGACAATTAGACTTGGTTAAATAAAAAAAAGATCCTCAAAGAGAAAGATGAGTCTGTTGGGGTTGAGTGATGATATTAACGAAAATGAAAGAAAAATTAATGATAATGACTTAAGTGGTAAAAAAAACTATTCAATTGATTAAGATAAATTTTTAATTCTAGAAGAAAAAAAAAACTTTTTTGATCAAATTGATAATGGAAAGGGTCTTTTGACAAATTAGTGAAAATACAAGTTTCAGATAATGAGTTTATCCCACTACCATACACTAGAAAGGAAGGGTCTTTTTTATTCCAATCAATGGAAACTTTACCCTGCGATGGCCACCAACAAAGGGTCTACATGTGTAAATATACCTCAACAAATGTACTTGTTTGACTGCATCAATGGCAAATAGATACTCTAATTTTGATGAAGCCCTAGCACACACACTAAGGCCAACAAATGTATATGTTCTCATACGTTAGACTATTAGAGGGCTATATAGCGAATAAAGCCCCTTACATATAGGACAAGAAACCAATACAGTAAGATCTGATGCTGGTTCCAATCCAGATACTACTGCCTTAACACCAGCACAGTGGGCAGCTGGTGAGGGTTAATAATGCCAGAGAGTACCGCGTATGATATGCCAGTATTGACCGTATAGTCATGTCTCTTGGACTTCTGACACAATAAATTCTTCCTACAGGAAGAAATGATATTTCCGGAGACGTCAACCTGATCTCCACGTATCGTTGGTTTCAGTCGAGACCGTACCGGGAAAAAGGAGGGACTCCTTTTTTTTCTTTTTAGGTAAGCATCAGATCAACCAAAAGAACATAAAAGAACCTTTTCTTTGCTGAGTATGTTTGGTTACAGAACCAACATCAAGTACCATCATTAGAAGAGCCATAATCCAACAGAAATATCAATATAGGAACTTAAATGACTGGGAAAAATGTATTTGTTAACAGGCACGAAAATCTATTCCATGAAAGTATAATCAAACATAGAAATTCCTTTTGATTCCCACAAACAATGTCCTGGGTCTGGTGACCCCTCTCAAGCTTCAATAACGCCAACAAGGTCTTGGAGAAAAAAAATAAAGCAGGCCCCGCTTTGAAAGGCACCTCCAAACATTCAAACAAATCCAATCACTTTCACCTTTACACTATTTTTCTGATGGCTGGCATGCGGCATTGTTTCTTCAAATCACACAAACAGAACTACCTCTTTTTCCCTAACTCATACGTCCTCAATTTGCTATCATCCTTTTCAAAGACACAAGAAGCATCCCATCGAAAGGTAGGGTTGCAAGAGACATTATAAACCCAAACCCAGATAGAAAGTTAAAAAAAAAAACACAAAAGAACTAAAAAATTGTGGCAAAAAAGAAATGAACATGTGAGTAAGCAAATGAGCCAGCTCTTGTACAAGCAGTCTTCAAGACCTTTCTTCTGCCGTCTAATCTTTTTCCCACCTTGTGGCATTGATCTACTAACACTATCAGCTTTTACTATATGTAACCAAAAGCGTTGCCTTTTTCTCCTTTTCCTTCCTCTGATTCTCCCTTCTTTTGTTGCTACTTGAGGAGACAGTTTCAATCAACTCCGAATTATATCCGTGGGGGAAAAAAATCATTAAGTAAACTCATATCACAAACATTCTTTTTCTCTATCTAAGTGTTTTCATCCAGTTACCTTGAATGTTAAACAGGACCATCGTTATCAAAAGTCAGCCTTCTTCTCGCGATGCCATTAACCAAAGAACTCCTACTAGCCGAATTTACATTATTTGGTGTACGAATATTTTCCACATCTAATTGCCGCAGTAGAATGTAACATCGAAACACATCTTCCTGTGACACGAAAAGGCAAAGAAGAAGTCCAAGGTTAACAGGTTCATCTAATTATTATGAAGGAAAGATATTTCTAAAAAAACCCAACCAATTAATTACTCACGATATTAAGAAATCCTGGATAAGCAATGGAATTCATCTGAGTCTCCAATGTGGTTCTTGTTAAACCGTTATTTAATACCAGTAATGTGGCAGCTGCTGCTATAACCGAAGGTCGATGGCTCATCAAATGTATCTCTGCACATAATTTACTTCACATCAACGTATAACAAAATCAACGAAAAGAAAGAAGTAATTAAAGGATGAATCCTAAGCTAAGGTACCTTTCATTAAAGCCAAAATGGATCGCACGGTCCTATATATTGTTTCGCTTGGTGGAGAATCCTGCCTGGAGAATTTTATTATGAAATAGCCAAGAAAAGCAAAAGGAGTTGTATAGTTCATTCTCCATTGCAACGTACTCAATATTCGAAGCTCTGCTCTTTTAACATCTGTGCTTTCAAATATAACTCCGTCTGTTTGAAACCTCCGTAAAGGGGGTACTCGTACTTCCTCCATCTTTGAGGCCAAAGTCATACATGCTACTGATATCAATCTAACTACCCGAGAATGCCTTCTCTGCGCAATACCAAGAAGCAAGAAACAAGAAACCATTAACCACAATTACAAGAACCGGATATTGAATTGAAACTTTCCAATTCAGAAGTCTTACATCAATGGAATAACTTGAAACGAACCGATCAAAATATATCATCGACAAGTAAGCGGTGTGATAATGAAAACCAAGGGTTTCTCTTGTCTGCATTAATAGTTCAACAAAAGTATTAATATTCGCAATCATCATGTGTTACTAACAATTTGAAAGAAAGAAAGAAAGACTAAAAAATAAAGAAACACTAACGCTGAGAATCCATGTAATCGCTTCCAATCGAGCATTTCTTAACCAGGAATCAAGAACCAAAGTTTCATTAGCATTGAAACCGCGATGAGGCTCCCGATTAGCCAACAACGTCAAATACTCATCTCCCGTATCTGGATCACCAACGTATGTCCGCGTAATATCAATGTATGCATCGTCTTCATCTGCTACTGCCAATTCACCTCGAAAATCTTCATGACAAAGAAGATCATAGGGAGATGAAGATTCACTTGACATTTTTCTTTATTTCATTGCTAGCACACTTATTCTTTAAGCGAGCCTTTGTAAAATGTACTCCTCTTATTTACTGCTAAACGCTTGACTTGTGAAGAGAAGTTTGACTAGCGTTCTTGAAAAAAAAAAAGATGGAGACGAGGAGCGAAATTTTTGGTTACTGTTTTAACGGTTGTCTATTGAAGGAAGTTGTAGGTGTTTGGGTTTGTTTTTGTAACATCTATCTTCTAGATTTTATCCAATTAACAGATTGTGGTGATTCCCTTTTTTTTCTTTTTCTTTTTCTTTTTTCATTTGCTTTCTTTCTTTTTATATTAATATTTAAAAGAATTTATTCTTCTAAATATATTAACAGACTTTAAAAAGAAAATGTATTTTTAAAATTATTTGAGACTGGTTTGTTCTGCGTAAAATGTACAGAAATGTCAAAAAAAAAAAAAAAAAGGGAGGCAAGAGCAGCCCTTGGACTTTTGGATTACAAGGGTGGGGCGTCTTTGTTGGATTCAAATGTCCAGAGAGCGTAGACTTCACAGCCCCGGTGAAGAGAAGATGTGGGAGATTGTCAAGTGGGTACCGTACAAAGGGTATTGGTACCTGAAAATTGCATGGTGATTGGTTGGGGTGTTGTTTCTCTTGTATGATTAAGTTCAGTCAGGGACAAGAACGGCTTGTTTGTTTGCTGAACAATGATTTTTTTTTTTTTGAAAAGTGAGTTTCAAGTAAAATGATTTTTGAAAAAATAATTTATTTTTTAATGTTTTGTTGTATGGTAGAAAATGAGTTGCAAATTATTTTTTGATGTTTGATAGTGTAGTGGAAAATGAACTAGAAAATAATATTTTTGAGTTTTTTGACTTTCTAAAACAGTGTAATTGTTCAGTTATTAATTTTTTAGGCCGCATTTATTCATTGGAAAATAAACTTTGGGAACGTAAATTATTTTGTTATATTTGGTTGTGTAATGAAAAATGAGTTGAAAATTATTTTCTATTTTTTATTAGCATTCATTTTATAATTAATATTGCAAATTAAATATTTAAAACAATAAAAAAATAAAATCGAAGGTGACAATTAGTAGGGACTGAAAAAAAGAACTAACAAAGAATTTTTACCATACAAGCATTGATGGGCAATAAACTTTAAGATAGTTTTTATTAGCATCCGTTTAGCTTGAACGAATTAAAAGATTGTCAAAATTAATTCTTATAGATAATAGCCAGCTATTTAATTGTTCAACCCAAGTTTTCCACTAAAATTAAAAATAATGATAATAATTCGTCTTTATTTGACGTTCTTGGGCTATCGATGTTGAGAGACGGGACATCAAATAATTTTAAGATATACTAAAAAAATATATTGATGGAATCACAAAGTCATAATTGCTCACAAAGTCGTAATTTATTAGTATATAAATATCAATTTGTAAGTTAAATTTAGAATTCAATTCTTATAATCAGATTTTTTGAAATTTTATTTTTAAAATATTTAAAATCATATGTTGAAGAATGTTATTTAATTATATTTAAAGAGGAATCACTTTTGAAATACACGAAAGCTAACTTAAAGACACTTTTATTAACTAATCTTTATGTTGTCGGAAGTCCATGGGAGGCTAATGTGAATGATTGGTTCGCAATGTGATGATAAGATTGCTTAATCCACTTCGATTTTTGAGAATTAATTTCCACACTCAACAATTGCTGACTAATATTTCTCCTCTCTCTCTCTCTCAATTTTTTCTTGAAAGAAAAAAGATTCAAACCTAGAAGCTGAGAGGAAAAGGAAATGGAAAAAGAAAACATTCCAACTTTCATTCTGGTTCTCGCCAGAAGGATGCCGAAGAAAACGAATGGAACTTCCTTTTGTTTATGTGTTAACTCAAAATAAAAACCCAACGAAAGATTCCAAGTTATGTTCTTCCCTATCTTAGTATTTTCCACAGTGAAGTCCAAACATTTACTATTAAATTGTTTAGAAATGATTGCAGCCATAGAATCATGAGGAGTTTCTGGCAACATAAGCCATTGCCCTTCTTGATGGTGTAATAAAATTAGAAGATCCAAAAGCTAATTAACTCAACTGTACAGAATTTATTAGCACCTCACATCAATATAAACTGCGACTTCATTAATTATAGTATCTCTTACCTCTTACAATCTTTAATAGCTCCACAAAATTCCAATCTATTTCTTTAACTGTGCCCACATACCTCTTTTACTCTTCTGCTTTGATAATCGAGTAAGAAAGTATCTACCTTAAGCGTTTACTGCAATTTGAAAAATAAAATGTCTCTGGGCTGGAATGATATCATACTTCTCTGGGTGTGCCTGTTCTTATGCATCCCTCTGAAAGTCTCCATGGAATCTTGTTTTGTTTTTCTGATCAGTTGTTTAAACAACACTGAAAATATCTCCATGGGTTCATTTTTTAATACATTGTCACTAGTTTTGCTCTGACTAAGAAGCTATGGATCGCAATCCTAATTATAGATTCAACTTAATTTTCCTTTCTAATTTGTTTGCATTTTGAACTCTCATCTCTGTAAGCTCTACAACCCCTGCCAACTCTATCTCTTAGTCAACATACTTGAACTGCTCTGAGCAAAAGACGAGTCAATCAAGTGTTCTCTATTTTCTGTCCTGAATTTCTTTTAAGACAAACAAAGATAATTTAATCAAGGTAAATCAAATTAGATCCAAGTTTTCGGCTGGTTAATGATGATATATTACACCATTATCCCAACTAATCAATTAAGCTAAAATAATGAACAAATTAAACCTTTCCATATGGGGCGCATAATACTCTTGCCTTGCGAATATATATATGAGCACTAAGCATATTGAATGCAAAGTAAGCAGCCCACAAAATTAATTTCAAAAATGAAACTCAATTTTGATTTCGTGTTGAACTGAAATCTAACGGTAACGAAAGATATTGATCTTGTCTATCATTCAAATGCTCGCTATACAACTCCTGGCAAGTACGGACTACGTTTTTAATGAACTATTGCAAATTTCATTGGAAGGATGCCATGATTCAATTCATAACTCAACCCTCTAACCGCCGCTCTTCCATTGCATTGAATAAGAAATTTCAGAAACCCCAAATTTCAGAATTTAATGTACTTTGTGCTTTCTGTAATTACATATGGTTTTCTTTGTTAAGTGATGACGATTAAAAGAGCTTTTGATAAACTGACTCATTCCCTTGATTATATGGAACACCCACGGTTTGTCCTCCTCAGTTAATTTCCCTCAATCAATTGAGAAGAATGGTTGATAAAAGTTGGGTCGAATTGAGAAGCACTTTCTCTTCCTGCTGCACTGTCTATCCACAGCATTGAATGACAATACAAAGCTTGCGTCTTTGTCTCTGGGATCCAATGTAATCCTTTGGCCTACTGATTTTTACATAGAACCCAGAGTGACATCGTTGCTCGTTCTATTTGTCTGATCTCTACTTGTAAAAGAAAAGCTCAAAGTCAGTCCCCAGAAATTGGATCATGATTCAACTATTGGTTACAAGATGCAGTTATTCTGATCCTTGTTATGTGTACATCATCCTAATATAGTTTCCAACAGAAGAAAAGGAAAGAAATTGAGTTTGAATAAATGACAGCCTAAAAAATTCCACCAGTTGGAAATTAACGCTATTATATATAGTTAATTGCCAACTAAATTTGGTTTTAATTGTTCATTTCACCGTCACTTAATTTCTTCAACGTTGGCAAGAATCAGGACCAGAGACTATGGTCAAGATTAAGAAGGAGAAAGGAAATTAATTAGAAGAAAAAAAATGAAATTTAGCTTTTTATACCTAACCTGTATGCTATCATTCTTTTTTCACTTCTTTTATTTTTCACCTTTCCATTACTGGGATCTCCAGACCGTTGAGTAGTTCAGCTAGTCTTCGATTGAAAATTGAATCAATGGACTCCGTGTGTCACTTCCAACCATTTCTTTCCTGCTACCATGAAATGATAACATATAGCAGCGATTACAATTCCACGCATCATAACAAGAATTTTTTGGCAATTGGGGCGGCCTGGACCTATAAATACTAGATAGCATGAATGGAGAAATTTTATAATATTGAAAAGAATAATTAATATACATATATAGTAATAATTTTATAAATTTATTTTTTAAAAAATAAATAGGCATATTAAAAAAAAATTGTATTCGAATCTACCTAAAGTGATAAAAAAGATTTTTATGTTGATTCAAATTTTTTTTTTAATTTTCTCTTTTTTATTTTTTTATTTATATCTATTTTTTATAGAGTAATTTATATTAATTATTTGTTACGTATTATAAAATTTTTCAGTATGAATATTGCTATTATGTGTATTCTTTTATTCACTGGACTTGACTTCACGAGATTTAGCGTCCATGATTGAATAGTCATCCCTACTTTTTTTCTTTAATGTACCCACGATATATTTGATTTGTAATTTCTTAAAATTTCTACTGTAAATATATTTTTTAATGGCATTTTGAAACTGTAATTATTATGTATATTTAGTGGTGTTATATATGTTAATTTTGGTGATAATATAATACATCCCCATCACATTACATCTAATAATCCTAAAAAAATAGCTTAATGGTTAAAGATGTTTGCTTTATTGTTTAATTTTTTGAATTTAAATCTCGAAACAAGATCTACAAGAATTTACCAAAAATTTTTAAATAAGTTAAGCCCGTTTTAAAAATATATCCTCAATCTATCTAAGAAATATCTTTTCGGTCGAAAAAAATTTAAATCTATATATCATATCATCACCGGTTGTTAGATCCAATATAAAAAAATTCACGATTGCGAATATAATTGTTTCTATAGTCAAAATAAATTTGCTAACCCCACCCTTAATATATTAAAGGCAGCCACTTGAAATGTCATTAATAATATATACTTTAAAATACTGGTTTAATTTTATAAAAATCATCAATAAAATTCTATTTTGTTGTACTATGTGAGAGAGATTAGACATGGAAGTCGGTATAATTAAGCTAGCTATCGTCCATTTGCTAGCATTTATTTTAATCTTAATTTTATATTTTCTTATTAGTTTTTTAGTAGGACTTTATTATATTTATTTGATAAACACAGAACGCAAGTGAAGCTTCTTTTATCAGCTGGCCCCTCCAGTTTCAGGTTGCATTGGGACTTGGCCCAGTTAAGCCGGAAAGTGTATCGTTTCTCTATCCCGCACCTTTAGCAAGATCGTTCTTCAAAGAGGCAACAATTTCCCTGTGAAGTGAGGCCTATAGGTACTGCCACGATATATAACGCGACCTTCTAAAGGGCCTTTCTCCTTAGATTTTCCTTAGCATTGTGAGATCTTTCAGACGGTATAGCGAAAAGTAATGACATTATTTAGTATTTAAAAATTCTTTTAAAAAATAGTAAACTATGAAAAAATTATAAATTTGAATATTTGTTAATAATACGATAAAGATGATTAAAAATCTAAGAACAACATAAGTAGTTAATTCTAATTGATTACTCATAAACTTAAATATTGTTTAATAATACGATAAAATGTGGTAAAAAGCATGCACACAACATAAGTAGTATGTCGTAATGGACTCAAGCTAAATTAGAAAATAATATAAACTAAAAATTTAAAAATTATTTCTATAAATACAAAAATTAGGAGAAAAAATAAATCACGAACTCTTAATTTCTAAATCGGACCAATTTGGGTTGATTTTAGACGTTCGGATCACAAGAAGACTCGATAATGATTTTTTGGAGTCATTTTTTTATTTCGAAAGACTCGTGTTTTCTATCACAGCGTGGGCCTTTTAATAAGCTTTGCAAATTGATATAATTTGCATCAATCGAACATCCGGATTAAAAGTTATGATCGTTCAAAAGATCAATACATTTTTACCCTTTCAAACTATTTTCTTGAGTTTCTATACATCGACTTGGTTTATGAACTCATCATCTAGACACCCCACATTAGTCCCCTCTACTTGCAAAAGACTCGACTTCAAGTTAAGACCGAGCCTCGAATACAATCGTGCATTTGTTTCATAATACCGTTAAATACGTAACATATTAAAGGTATTAAAGATACTCATATTATCACACAAAAAAGTTGATTTGGGTGGAAGGAGTTTCGGTCGCTTAAACAAGTGATACCGAGTTCGAGTTTTTACATATGTAGAAAACTCATTGAGTAGTTATACTTGTCTTGTACATTCGACCGAACAATGAGGGATTAGTTTAGGATTTTGAGCTTGAGATACCTTGGGAATAAAAAAAGATACCCATATTATCTAGTAGATAACTATATAAATATTGTCATTGATCTTCATCGAATATGATAAGGACCTTCCTTAGCATTGGTGTATAATCATGCAATCTATATAGAAATTATACAATATTTCTATACCCAATTGCCTAGCATTTACATCATATTATCAATACCTACCAAAAATAAGACTACATGCATTTATGTCTACTACATCATAATATATCTCATCTTTATACATTTTTATCGAACACAAAACCTTACATCTTTTTGTCATTTTAGCTTTACCTACAGACCTTTATAAAAAAAAATTATAAGGTTTTAGGTGAGGCTTAGCAATCAATTCAGCTTTTTCACATTTTTTTGACCAATTATATTCTCACATCCGCCACTATCAATGATTAAATCAAACCAACCATTGTTAATAATACACTTGGTAAGGAATAATTTGTGGTGTTACGAGCCCTTTAACGACTTTGGTGTGAATAACGACTTTCTCACAAGAAAGATCTCTCCTCCTTTTTCATAATCCTCCTCATCTCTATCGAGACCATAAATCTCCTCATCATAGTCTCATGATTCCATATTGATATCTTTTTTCCTTTTGCAATCACCGGAGCAATGTTCTAGTTCACCATATTTGAAGCACTTTTCAGGAATTGGTCTTATATGCAAATTTGCTAGCTTAACTACTTTATTTTTCTTTTCACGCAAGCATATTGGTGAGCATTATATTAGGCTAGTTGAACAACCTTATAGCTCTCAACCATTACCTTGCTAGTTTCTACAAAATTTTTACCGATAGGTTAAAACTTATTGGTGTTGTACTATTACTCGCTATAGTAATATCTCCGCTTTCGGCTCTATATTTTACACATCGTTGAGTGTGTGCACTATTTGCATGCTTATCTTATCTCCGACAACGGGTTTCAAACCATTCAAATACATAACAACTATCTAATATTTGGTCTTTCGTAATCGGTTGAGTTCTATCATATTCATATAGCAAACCTCACTTGTAGTTCCAAATTTCACACATTATTAAGTATGTGCATTATTTGCATGCTTATCTTATTGTCGACAACAAGTTTCAAACCATCTAAATACCTAGGAATTATCTCGGTATTCAATTTCGCATAACTAATTGCATTCTAATAGATTCATATAGTAAACCTCTACTTTTAGTTTTAAATTTTGTAAATTATTAAATGTGTGCGCTATTTACATGTTTATCTTATCTCTCGATAGCAAGTTTCAAGTCATCCAAACACCTAGCAATTATCTCGGTATTCAATCTCTTATAATTGGTTATGTTCTACTCGATTCATATAGTAATACTTCTACTTTTAGTTTCATATCTCACACTTCATTGTGTTTGTGCATCATTTACATGCTTACCTTATCTCTAACAACAAGTTTCAAACCATCCAAATACCTAACAACTAATTGGTATTCAATCTTTCGCAACTGATTGTTCTACTAAATTCATAAAGTTAGTAATGTATTATGGGCAATCCTTCATTCCAAAGTACATTTTATGATATTTATGAAATGATTACTACTCAAATTTGAAAGTATGAATAATTCTCTCAATAATTTCCTTACTTGAAACTAGGTTGCAACATGTTGTCTACCTTTTATGATCATATCATCCCGAACCCATTTACACCAAGAAAAAACTCACTATTTCAATCTAATTGTAGTAGTTTGTGCCATCTATTTTTGACAATCTTACGTACTTCATTATGTCACAATTAATAATCCAATTCATGAATTTTTCTATTCTCAATCTCCACTAAAGATGGTCCGGATCCCTTAATTAATGTCATTAGGATTGGTGCTACCATTAACATCCATCAATTAGGTCAACTCCACTCTAATACCATGTGATGCAATATATAGCAAAAAGATACAAGGTTACTTAGTATTTAAAAAACTTTAAAAAAAAAAAAAAACACAATAAACTATGAAAAACTAACAAATTTGAATATTTCTAAATAATATCGACAATGGCGACCAATGGCCTATAAACAACATAAGTAGTTTGTCCTAGTTGATTAATGGCTAGATTAGAAAATAAAATAAACTATAAATTCAAAAATTAATTCTAGAAATATGAAAATTAGGAAAATAAACAAAATAAAAAGTCTTAATTCCTTAACTAACGCAATCTAAGCTTTTTTTGTATGTTTGAATCACAAAAGAGTTCGAAAGTGATCTTTGGAGTGGATTTGATCTCGAACAAAACCTTTGGTCTCCACAATGGTGCGAACCTCCGAATAAACTTTTTAAATTGATATGCTTTGTGCTAATCGGATATTCGAGTCAAAAGTTATGATCATTTAAAGGATTAGTATGCATTTGTCCTTTCAAATTGTTATATTTAACTTATTCCGTTGATCCGGTCCATGATCCCATCAATTATACGCCCTACATCAAATTTCAATCCATATCGGTGTAACTTTGATGAGATTTATGGACTCAAAAGGGAATTGATGGAAACCCTCTTCATTCTCTAATGAATCATTATGATGTATTGTAGCCTTGGCATGGTTATCGTCATCATGACTCAAAGGAGTCGTCTTGTGGCTAATGAAGTTTATTTCCTTCCTTATTTTTATAGGTTTAAATCTTTGAGTTGGCATTTACAAAAAAATCATTATCTTCTTTTGGCACTTACAAAATATTATCATATTCACATAAAAGCATTACATAGGAGAAGCAATCTTAATAAAATTCAAAAAGAGAATTTATTCTTGATTTATAAGCAAGTTAATCCAAAAATATATATGATTATTGAAAAAAAAATGGCTATCATCATATATCGTTCCGATAGTGAATGGATAAAGATGTTTTTCCCTTTAGTTATCGTTATGCATGTAGTGATTAACTTCCAATTGCCTTTGTGCAGACTTCAAATTCAAAAAGACCATACAAATTGAATTTTCAACACACTATACAAACGCTTTCCGCTAATTGCAATTATATATATCAAAATTGTTTCAATAGCAATTAATTATAATTATTAACCCACACATTATTCTCGGTTTAATTCCGTTGCATAATAAACAAAAAGCAAGATCATCAATATTGATTGATTTATATTGAACTCGACTTGCTAAAGAGGGTCAAAACTTTAAGCACACGACATATATGCAAATGTGTAAACAACGAGAGGAGAAAGCAAGACAGTTTAATTGTTGAAATTTAAGATTGTCAAAATATATATGGATAAATCCAAATCGATAAAAGTTCATAGAGGTTGAAATCCTTTGAAAAATTAACCACAAGGTGGTAGTTGTTCCTAAAAAAGTATCGACTTGTAAACTAAATCCATAATTCGATACTCGTGATCAATACTCTTGAAAATTTATTCGCGGAAAATCCGAAACTGTGTATTGAGAAATGCTTTTTAACTATGCATAAGGAGAGATTAGTTTCGAAATACACAAATATCTTTTATTTATTTATTATTAGTATTTTTATTTATTTGAAATGGCATAAAAACCTTAGAGAAATCCTGACAATCATATAATAACCATGTGACCGTACCTTATTCAAAACACTCCACTTACCTAAATGATCTCACAGCCAATAATGCAATAATTAACCCTAGTAAAAAAAAAAAAAAAAATTACGATGCCATATAGGGGAATTCAATACCCGTTCAAAAGGTTTTTGGTGCGAGGAGACCACTTAAAGGCTGTCTTGTCATGCCATGCCTCACAGCCAAAAATTAATTAAAAAGGGTTAATGGTATACTCGACCTGACATGAGGTCCATTATGTGATTGCCAATTTAAAGCAACGGCAAAGGCCACAGTGCGGACACGATTCTTCATATAATTTTAGGTGATTGCGAAGCCTTGCATAAAAGGTGGCTTCGCCCTGGGAGCACTAATATTGTTAAGGTGAGAGAAAAGTGGGTCTGGGCGGTCGCTCGTGCAATGATACATGCGTGTATAATTAAAGCGTCGCCCCCACTGCCTCTTGATTTTTCAAACTCGAATAGCCATGGTTTGAGGGGAGAAGGACCTATGCAAACGTGAGATAATGCCTAGAAAACTAATAAAAGCAGGAATATTATTATGTATACTCAGGGTGATGGAAAGTGAAGAAACTTGCAGATAATGATTGAAAGAATCATATCGACTGTTTCCATAAATTATTAGATAGACTAATGCTCTATTTAGCATAGAAGTCGGTAATAGTGGTAGCAATGTCGGTTGAGTATGGAGCATTTTGAAAAAAAGTGAAAGTGTTTCGTTAAAAATGCACATTAAAAAAGCAGTTTTACCAATGAAATTATATAAAATTAAATATATAATGAATTATACACATTATTTATGATGTAATTTTATATAATTTCACTTGTTAAAAATTAAAATTTTCCTCAATCAGATTTTAGTAGATTCATGATATATGTGATTGATTCATCAAAAAGTTATGAGCTGAAGTTCAGATTGAGCTAACTTGAGAGCTTCTTAATTAGAATTTGCTCCACATTAATTCAATCAATAAAGTTTCCAAATATATATATTACTTCTTTCTTCTCGCTTTGTTTGTTAAAATTCCTATTTGGAAATGCACTAAATTATTTATCTATTATATGAAGAAAAAAATACGATTTTCTAATTTTATATTTAATTATTTGATTAATTATGGTTCTATTTCAAGATATATAAATTTCTATATTTTTCAAGATAAGATGGTTTGAGAATATACATGGTAGATAAAATAACAAATAAATTTTTGATAAATAGTTGGACATTTAATAATATAGACAAACAAATAGAAAGGAGTGAGTACTTGGATGAAATGTAATTTCAAAGGAATGGATATTGAATGTATTTAATATACCATAGAGGGAGCCCAGAACAAAGATCAAAAGGTCCTGTGGTTTCATAAGGCGTTTCAAATCCCTACTCCTAATCTTTACATGGTGCCTTCTCAAAGTACCAAATAAGGTTGCTTTCTAATAACCTTCCAACATCAAAATTCTGCATCTGCTCCTCATAAAAAGTTTAAATTAAAGTTTGGTAGAAAGATTTTTTTTTTTACGGCAAAACAAAAAGTCAAACAAGTATGGAGCAAAGATAAATGAGGCATCCCTCTCCATGATGAGATAGGTAACTTAAAAAAAACAGTACCGGTAGGAACTTGCTAGCTAGTATTACCCGGTTCGCATGGCTGACCTTTAATTAAACACGAGTGCAACAGCTGGCTCCAAAACAAAAAAAATATTAATACCGAAAGGTCAAGAGCTGAGACGCAAAAACAAAGGTCGGTCAACAAATCATAGAGTCTGGGAAACGGAAATTGCTGTCGTAGTAAATAATGATGCCCAGAAGAGAACAGAATGGTGATCAGCAATCCCTGCATGATTGTGGTAGTTGTCTTAAAATTTCTGACAACGTAAGGGGCTGTGCCCCACAGACACACCATCCTGACCCTGACTCCCATGCCCCCTCTTTCAACAAAAGTACCTGCTAGTCTTACCTTGGATGTCACAGGCAGAGTCAGGGAACAGAAGTTTGATTCCCAATGTTTTGACTGCCTTGACCCGATCCCGTTTGAAACTTACTCCTCTACCTGGAAAACCCCACTAGGGCAGTGTGCGCACATGGGTGCTTCTAATCAGTGGCTGGTGATCATGGTACCCAAAAACTAGAAAAAAAAGGGTTGTTTTGATCAACTATGGGCTTTCAAACTTCAAGTTGAGTTTTTCCAACACATGGGCCACCGAGATTAAACAAGTTCGGGTGTTTTGTTGTCACCCCATATAGCGACAAGAAGCTCGTGACAAGAAGATAAATTATAACTACTGTAACTTGCTGAGAGTAGTGATAAAAACATGGTACATCAATTTCCGTGCTTGATATGCATAAAATAATTCGCTTCTAAATCCTGTGTTTTGGACTGTACGTGGGAGTTGTAATGCCACGTGCATCCAAACATACACATTAATTCAATTATAATTCAAGGACCCTCTCACCATGTTGGCTCTCAACATAAACAAGTGGCTACCAACATAAACACTTCATTTCTTTCATTTAGCGAAAATTTTATGAATCGGATCATCACATTGTTCTTACAAACATGATCTTGATCCTTGTATCTTACATGTCTCTATATATATATATACTATATATTTGAAAGTTGTATTTTTAATCCGTTTTTCGTTACGAGTAACAATTCGTCATTAGTTGTTTGATTAGAGCAGCTTATTGATAAAATATCTTAAATAATATGCATATCATACTTGATATATTTTATGATTTTGAAATTTTGCCCATACTTAGGTCTTTTACTTTTTTTTAATTGTTTTGATTGAAATTTTTATTTTTTTATTGAGATTTTTCCACTTTTTATTTGTAATGTTTAAAATCCTTCCTTATAATATTGTTAGTTGTAAGTCGACATGACACGTGTATTTTTGAATGTATGACACGTGGAACTCTAAGTGAAAAAAAAATGTAGAAACCTAATTGCATAAAATTTAAGATATAGGATCAAAATGTTTTTTTTGGAAAACTAAAAGGATTAAACTAATTTTTTAAAATTTATGCAATTAAGTCCTTATATGTTAATTTTTTTTCCAATTAGAGTTCCACGTGACATGTCACACATTAAAAAATAGACGCACCACGTCAATTCATAACTAACGGTGTTATGGTATAGGATCTCAAATAACACAAAATGATGAGTAAAAAGTTTCAATTAATATTAAAAAATATAAATTTTCAATCAAAATAATTTAAATAGTAAAAGGTTCATATTGACAAAATTTTATGATTATGCATCTATATGAGATCTAGCTATTGATTCTACAATATAAAATCTTGTTTAATACCATATAAAAATTTGATATCCGACATCAAAATCAAGCAAATTTTAAACATCACGAGAGAACAATCCAAAATATTATGTTATGCAAAACCAAGTGGACTTAACATTAAACAAAAAATCAAGATTACAATAATAATAAAAATCACAAGCACCTTGATAAGATGTACTCTAGCGTGTTGGTCGTGAATAATTTAGAACAAAAATGCTCCGTCACTTCTACTTGCATGAATGGGCTTAAATTTTACTAACCTTCATACCCATGAGCTTGGAGTCGTTTGAGTGGGTTTTGCAGGATTGGGGTGGTTCGGTCTATTCTTATCCAGGGTAAAGTGATCAGCCTGTTTTCCTTAGAAATGGGCCTGCTGTAATCTTTTTACACAAGCCATAGTTGATACGAATTTTTTCCAAATATGAAATATCGGTACATGTTGGGCTTCTCTATTGCTTCATAGGTTCTACACAAAATTTGCATGCCATATGTATGCTTCTTCAGAGGCAGGCATAGCGAGAATCTAAAATTTGCATTTTGGAATCTCAGACTGGAAACGAAGAAGCACGAATACTTCATGGGATCCATGTGTCTAAGACCTCTAGATCCTCCGTCGAAATCTCTTTTCTAGACCCAGTGAGTCAAGTTAGGCTCTAGACTCAGATCACATGTAATAGGCCAATAGACTTTTCTCGTGCTATCTCCTTCAGAAGTCTCCCCCGATGGCTACAAACCATCAATCCCTAGTCCTTTCTAGAGATGGCAGTGGACGGGTACGAAGTGCATATCAGTCCAATCTATTAATTACCCTTTGGTAGCAAGATATGAGTATAATAGTGCTATCTATTTATTCTAATAGGTAATTATTCTATCAACATGGATACCTTCTTCTTTTTGTATCAATTTATTACCCATTAAAATAAAAGGTGCTTACAAAACAAAACAAAACAAAACAAAACAAGAGAGAGAGAGAGAGCATAGCGGGATAGTCCCATTAAGCAGATCACCAACGTCCACCATGAGTAGCGCCACCACCGAACCACCTCCACTCCTCCACCACTGAACCAACCGTCGTAGAAACATCACAGCCATGAAACCCCAGCAGCAGCCACCAACCAAACAATTTTCACGGGTCAGTTCTTTCTCTCAAGTCTCAGTACACAAGCTTGGTAAATTAGTTATCTTATTGTTTGATTACTTAGATATATTTTTGTCATTCTCCTTCGATTTTCATCCAATTAAAATTGCAGTGGAACATTTGAAGTGGGGTTAGTGAATTTTAAACCAAAAAAGAAGCAAACTCTACTAACTGTTCGATGCAATGTCATTGTGTGTGTGATACTTTTTTGGTTAAGGCGAGCTCTGTCACTTTTTGTTCCTTGCTTTGATCTTTGCTCTGTCATTGTAGGATGTCTTGGTATGGCATTTCTCTTACTCTTTGTTTTGGCTCTGGTTCTTTATCTTGGTATTAACTCTATTGTTTGTTTGGGCGTTTATGATTCTTTTTCTGCTAATATTATGATTCCCTTCATAAAATTTGCACCGCAGCTGTTTAATTCAGGTTGATTAACCAATTTTTACTCCTATATTACTACTAGTAATCTTTTGTTAAGTTTCTGCTGGTTTGCTACCCTTCAGAGACTTGAGTCCTTCTATTATTCCTTCTTAACCCCTTGAAAACGGAATCCCTTGTAAATAAGCAGTACCCTTATGATTTGAATTCAAACTGTCACCCTCATCTGGGTATGGTTTTAGTCCTCGAGGTTAATTATGATTCATACTAAAGCTTTCATTGAGCACAATCAAACTGGGTGGAGCAATACTGGACCTCTGAACAAATTGATTCATTTTATGGTTTAATGAGCAGTTCTGAATAAAAAAATATTGGATACATGTTCTTTCATTGACAGATATAATTCTAATGTTGCAAATTTCTTAGTACAAAATATCCTTTTTACTATCAGTGATGTACGTACAAAGCATTATTGAACATTAGTACTATTGTAAAACAAAAGAGACTAAAACTCAAGCTTGAGTACTTGTTTGGGCAAAAAGATTGTATCAGTACTACTCTTGGGGGAAAAAAATTGTTATATATATGCTGCAAGAAAATATTTTTATTGTATGTTACACGTTTGACATACCTCGGCGACCTGTTTGGACAAAAGAAGCTCCATTTGTAAACAGTTACCCTACGGAGTAGAAGTTTCAGGACTTGCTTTTCTCCTTGATCTCATTTCTCCATGTTACCTGCTATTTAAAATATTTGATTCTTAGTTCACTTACATTCTGCAGCATGGCAAATAATTACAACTGCATTATAATTACAACTTTTGCTGCCTCATCATGCACTTTTTTTTTCTTTCACTTAAGAAGTTCAAATCTCATTTCTAATCAATGCTAAACACAATTGCTTTTGATTTGTCACTTGTTCTGTAATGAAGTTCTAATAACACTTGACAGTGGCAAGCAGGGCTGTTCTATTTTCTTCTTTTCCTCCTTTCAGCTAGAATATGCAGGCAAGATATCTGCATACTTTGAACATCTAATATGTCATCACAGATGCCTTCCTTAGTTTCCAATTCATTTAGTCATCTTATCTCACATTTTGGTTTGGGTACCTGTAGTTTTGAAGTATACAAGTGATTCATATATATTTTGAATGGTCGGCTAATATATATATATATATATATGTATATATTGGATATGATTGTAACATGAAGCAAATTTTTTAAAGAATGTCAACTTAAAATGAAGGTGATAAATCGAGTTATGGAAAAAGCAATGCATTTGTTCAAGAATCTTTGACTCCTACCTCTATAAGAAAGTTCAAATCTCATTGGTTTCCTGGTTATTGTGCTTTATTTGGAATAATTTCCACTTTCCAGCTGGAGTGTACAATAAGAAAAGGAAAAGATCACGTTACATGCTGAAAAAATAAAATAATTAGTGATGGCATAGATGAGAGTAAGGACATATATAAATTATGATGTGTTTTAATTCCACTGCTTGTGAGAGTTGTTGTATTAAAACCTGCAAATTCCAAAACCGACGTATTAAAAAATAAAAATTCTGTTGCCATTTCTATGCCTAAAATTTATAATATCAGATATAGTTTAATTAATTTACCTGACTTAAAGGCACAGGCTTGAGAAATTGTATGATAAAGATCCAAGACAGTAGCCTTGTTTGAAAACCAAGTCTGTTTTTGTATTGGGAATTTGGGATGCACTTAAGCAAAAAATAGACACGTTCACACACCCGCCTAGCTTGCAGCGGTCAACCACCTCACTTCTATTTACAACCACCGCCCCTGATCGTTTCAAAAATCCTCTAGCTTGCTGGCAGCAGTTAACCGCCTCACTTCGGTTTACAACCACCACCCCTGATAGTTTCAAAGATCCTAGAGACAATTAGAAGAAAAATGAAAAGGGTTTTTGAACAAGCAGTGTTAAGTAATATGATTACTGACAAGGAAGAAAGATAAAAGAAAAAGGAATGTAGTCACCGCTCACCACTTCTTTTTGTTAATTTAAAAACTTTTTAAACTAGGAAAAAAAAATGGGTAAACGTATATGGGTCAGGAATAAGCAGAGGGTATGAATTAATGGATATGAATCGAGTAAATAAACAGACTAGCAATTTTTAATAGATAAATAATAATAATAATAATAAATAGCTGCTCTATGCAGTACTAACATTATAGTTGACCTCAAAGCTAATACACAATAATCTTATTCCATCTTCTATAGAAAAAAAGATACCAACATATAATTCTTATAATAATATACCCTAATATTATTATTATTATACTTTTTTATTCACTGAGGTAGAAGTGGACAATTTTCACACCATGCTTACAAAAAGAGTGATGATATATATATATATGATAAGCACTTTAGAAATTTGATTGAAAATGTAATTTGTATCATTAACTGTATTGTTTATGTAACAAAAATAATACTAACAATGTGAGCACCCAATTTTTACCTTAAATAATTTAATTAATTTGTGAGTTTTCTAAAAAACATATAAAAAAGAAAAAAGGAAAGTTATTTAGAAAAATTAATTTTGAGGTATAATTGAAGAAAATTAAAAGAAGTGGAATTGATTTATTTCAATTAAGGAATGTAATTGAAATGCAAGCAAATAAAATTATACGAAAATCAAAAAATTGAGAAAAACCAAGGATAAAAAACGAGTGTTTGCCCAAAATCTTAATTTCTTTTTTATAAATACCCAACTCTTTCAATCTCTAATGCTAGACACGAATCCCAAAAAAAAAAAGCAAAAAACTTAAAAAAACACAAAAACTCGACCAAACAACTCCTAAGGAACCCAAAACCCAAATAATCGATGGGTTACTCGTTTACTCGGTCGAACTTTCCTCCTCTAAATCAACCATCTTTCGATCAATTTTTACTCCAAGTGCCACCACCAACGGATACCCTATCTCCGAATCCACCCATTCTCATAGGTTAGAGGAAGAGAGGACGTTGGAGTAGAAAGAAATCTAAATTTGAAGCACCAAAATCCGATCCGCTTAGGGACCCATTCATATCTTTCGATTTCGACCAAACTACCGACTACCACCACCACGAGCTTGATCTTTCGACTCCTCCGAGTGTTTTCCCCATGAAGTCATAGCCCAACATCATCAAAAAATGTCTAATCGACAAAGATTTGTTTCCAACTCGTTTTGAAGAACTTAAAAAAATCGATTGATCAAGGCCAAATCGGACATTTTAACCATCACAAAAACACTCCTCTTAGCTCCATGAGTTGATCGGTATCTTGAAACCCCCAATCATTGTTGAAATCATCGTCGGGAAGAAAAGAAGATCCGGTCAAAACTTTCGAGCCTTCGATTTTCCTTCTTCGGCTTTGTTATCGACTACCACCTCCATCATTGAACTTGTGACGATTTCCTCTAAAACGCAGGGTAGTTCACAATTCCAAAGAACCTTTGAAAGTTGAATGAACAGTCGTTAATGGTTGTTTGGATTTCATGAGCATTTTGGTAATTTTGCATTGTAGAGATTTTTTTTGGTATTATTATGTGTTTAGGGCATTTTGATCATTTTACAACCGACCAATAACATTTCAATCGTCACATAGCAGACCTCCTCGACACTTACAATAGTTGTTTCCTCTTTCTTTGTTGATCGAAACAATTAGTCTTCATCGAGATTGAAGGAAAACAATTGATCCGAAGAAGGAAATCTTGACGGTCTCACGACGCTTAGGTAACTTTCAAAGTTATTTGGATTATTTTAAATGATAAATGAATGTGAAATGCTATGCTATGAATGACTCGTAATTGTTGTCCGTCACTTGTTTACTTAAAGGAAACTATTAGTGGCTTCCTAATTATGTAGTCAAAATCGCTAGCAGCCTTCTAATCAATTATTTCCAATTACTTGTTTGTTAAGATAAAGTTGATTGTGGCTTTTCACTTGTGTGGATGAAGTCGTTAGTGGCTTTTGAACTAGTTTTTACCTAATTTTTGAATTACCAAAATAAAGTTGTCGGTGGCTTTCTACTTGTATGACTAAGCCGTAAGCGATTTAAAAATTATTTTATTTATTGTATGTTTGTCCGAAACGAGACGATCGAAGACTTCTCACTTATGTGACCAAAATCGTTAGAGGCTTCCAAATTAGTTATCTACTCCTTGTTTGAATGAAATGAAGCCATCTATGGCTTTTCATTTATGTGATGAAGTTGTCGATAACTTCTTAAATCCATGTCTTGAAGCCATTGATGACTTCCCACTTATGTGAGTAAGGTTGTCGGTGACTCGCTGCTCATATTAATAAAAGGCTATTGATTTTTAAAAACTTATCTATTTTCGATGTAGGTCGTGTTCGTTAGAGGTTAATCAAAATTTCAATTCCCCCCCCACCTTTACCCTATAAGTGTGGGTATCGACCTCATACCAACCTAACCTCGAATTATTTGATTCCATGCCCTTAAAATAAATATATTCAAGTAGGCATAGAAATATAATATAGAAAAATCACATTTTTATTTTCAAATGCAAACAATGTAGCTTACCTTAGGTAGGACGAGGTGACGGTTATGTTATATCTTCTTCATACGTAACCGACCTTTTACCTAGATTTCTTCGTAGACTAGTATGTTTAAGGTTTTTTAGTTTTTTTTTCTGATTTGTTAGGTGGCGACTCTCGTTCTTGTACGAGCCCCACATCGACAAACAAAAACCTTTCTCTTCTCTTCCTATGAAGGCAAGAACTTCTTTTATTATTCCCACCATATGAGTTATAATTAAATGGAAGGATTATTTTAGTGATTTTCTTATAATATCAAATATATAAAGTATTTGAATAACGAACTAGTTGATTGGTTATTATATATTGTAGATTAGGAAAACTAGATAAAATCATTCTAGTTTGATAGTCGTTGCATGTTGCGTGTCCAACAAAACATATAGAAATCAAAAGCAAAATTTTCTCCCGCATTCATAGTTTTTAATCAAAACTTTATACTTAATTAATCCTTTCTTATATTCTTTTTAATATGCTACCTTCTTAAAAAAATATGATTTATCTTTTTTATTCATGAATTCTTAAATAAAAATTTGTAATAATCCAAATAGCAAGTTTCAATCAATCGCAAATTGAAAAAAATATATGTATAAATTTAATATTTTTTTTTATAAGATTGCATCAAAAAAATAAAGCAATAATTAATGTTAAAAATACTACATAAAAAATTAAAATAAAATTTTATCATTGTTGAATATTAATGTGAAGATTAATTTTTGAAAGCATGTACATTGTATATACGTATATATACCCAAAATAATTAATAATATCAGCATAAAAAAATCTATTCGAAAAATATGGTACCATCATATGTCTTTTTAAAACATAATTTAATTATTTTTTTTAGATAAATTGATTTCAAAGTATTCATTTAAAACAAAATAAAACCGTAAATATTTAATGTTTTGCGTGTATACACAACCCCTTTAATATTAATTTTAATAAAATTTGATTATATGTAGAAGTAAATAAAGCATCCGTATTTCATTTTTTTCCTTCTTGTAATATATATATATATTAGCCATAGATGCTTGGTCCCATATACAAACGTTGTACTCATAATAATCAATTCTTCTTCTTCTTCTTCTATTTCATTTCTTACTCTTAATTATGTTTAAATTTTTCTTTTAAAAAAATTTGAGATTTTTTTTTTACAATACACTTCCAACATATATATTTAAAATCAAGAAAGTCGAATTTAAAAATTATAAAAATCCATCCTATAAACTATATTTATTTGATAAAAATTGTCATGCTCATGAAAATTTATTTCTAAATACGTACATGGAAAAAAATAAGTCATATAAAATTTAATAAAAAAGAAGAACTCGAAGAGATGAATTTTAAATAATAATAGTAATATAATTTGAAATATATGTTAAGTCAAAAATATAAAAACATATCATTAATATTTTTTTCCTTGCTAAGTTGCAAAAAACTCGACAAATAATTATGAGTTTTCCAAAATCATATGATTAAACAAATGACCCAAAAAAGCAAGAAAAAAGAAATAATAAAGTCGAGCCTCCAATCTTAGGTTTGGAGAACTAATACCACCCCGTGCAATTTCTAGTCGAAAATTAGGACACCACATTTAAGCTTTTCAAAACCAAATTGATCATTACAAAATTATTTATAACCTTCAAATTCATTTTAATACATCTAAAAAACCGAGAAATTCAAAACTCGAAAATAGTTTGGCATCTCGATTTTTTTCCTCCAACTATTTTATATCTTGAACTATCATAAACAAAATTTTCTCTCTAATATCAAAAAATCAGTATTATAATTTTTTTGTCCCCAAAGTATTGCAATTTGACAACTTTGGATTCAAAGTATCAAATTATATAATTTGAATTCTAAAATATGGAGGATTAGGCAAATACGACGATCAATTGTCAATTGAGTATTACTTAATTTTTTTTTAATCGAAGCCAAAAGGAATTAAAAGAGGCAAGGCGGACGATATGCCAAGGATCAATACTTGAACATTGGATTTAAATGAAAAAAAGCAAAGTTAAGCTCACCTCCTCTTCTAGCATGGGCTTCCTTTGGATGTTGAAATGCAAGAATATTAGCTAACACTCGCTATACATCCGAAAAAGTTTCAATAGCAAAAAGTAAACAACCATAAAGCAAACTTAACCTCCACTTCATCAAGTTGGGAATGATATAGATGGAAACTATCCATGGGAAGAACTCGTAGCAATACATGGAGGCTTGACTTGAGAATCAAATGAAAAAGTATTTACATGATGCATTATTTCGAAGCCAAAGTGCTTTTTCCAAGCACTGGGGGACGAGTCCGAGCCACAATATGCCTACATATATTTTAATCACGACATTTAATCGAATAGCAATTAGCCTAAAAAAAACAAAAATAAGATCGAAAGAATGATGCTCTTCACAAAAATTCAATCCTTAAAAAAAGGTTTGCTAATCTTCCTAACTATCTTGTACAATCCATGACATGCAGTTGAAAGATATCAAAGTAAACAATATTCTTACATTGAAGATGATAGAATTTACTTGAAATTAGGATTCGATGCTGCTGCTCGTTGTAGAAAGAAGCCGTTCAGCTAAAGCATCATATATCTCATCCATGGAACTCGCAAATGAAACACAAGCAAAAATACATAAAAATACCTTTTCAAACAAGAGAAACAATGCTTATAAATTTGTTGTTTGTTCACTTCAAATTCAACTCAACCATAAGAATGATGCATCCGTAATTCTAACCCTTAAGAGGAATCGAAAACCTTAAAAAACCTAACTCGAAATGTAACATTTAAGAGACTATTTCGTGAACTCTAACAACTCTCTCACATGATCGCTATCAACCTCCCAATCTCTCCCTTTCTCTCATTTTCAATTAATCTTTCTCTTTGAAAACTAGGTTTTTACTAGAAAAAAATTGAAAGGTCGCCTTACCCCTTTCAATTCCTCTTTAACTTCAATTAAAAAAAAAATTAAGTAATGATCAATTAACAATTGATCATTAGAAATAACGAAGATTAATCTCTCTCCGAAAGATATCGCTATCAATCTCCTAATCTCTCCCCTCTCTCGTTTTCAATTAATCTCTCTCTAAAAACTAGATTTTTACCATGAAGGAATTGAAAGATCTGTCTTACCTCTTTCAATTCCTCTAGACTTCAATTGAAAAAAAAAATTTAAATAAACAATTGATCATTAGAAACAACGAAGATTGATTAATTTGGATAATATTTATCTAATTTCTAATATTTTAGAATTCAAATCATGTAATTTAATATTTTGGATTCAAAATTGCTAAATTATAATATTTTGAGGGCAAAAAATACCATAGTGCCTGAAAAAATCGAAACTAAAATTCATGGTTAAATAGTCAAAATGAATCTGACCCATAGATCTCTCTCTTTTCTTCCCTTTTACATTTCTCTGACTTGTACATCAATAATGTTTACAATTGTGGATGAATAATAAATAGAAAAATGGGCATGGATGACTGATAAATGAATAGAAAACACTATTTGCTTTAAATATTCTTACTAATACATAGAAGCGTTTGAAAAAACTTAACTATTTAAAATTAGAGAGACTCGGTTTTCGAAAGGCATCGTGACGTGACCTTTTTTTGTGGAGTCTTTGAATTCGTGCAAGGAAAAATAACAAAATTTACACGAAAAGTGAGTTTGTAGGAGGTTAGATTTTGTAATTTGATTTTTCCTACACTTCCACAAACTCAATTACGGCACCAAAAATAGAAAAGAGAAAAGAAAAAGGAAAAATCCAAAACGAATCTGTTTCACGTGTCTCACACAAAGCCACGTGTTTTATCACCGCCTAATCACTCTAGCCCCACATGGATCCATCTAACAATAATCAAAACGGTAGAAATCACGACACGTAGCAATCCACAGAATTCTCTGGCTGCACTTGACTACAGGCTCCTCGAATATTCCATACCCCTCGATCTGAATAAACCCTCAGAGCCTCCTCCTCGCCTGGAGAAAGAGATTTCCTCTCTATTCAACTCGCTCGCTCGCTCGCTCGCTCGCTCTCTCTCTCGATTTTTCAAAAGACTCTATTTTATTTTTCACTCGAAAAACCTATTTATACCCTAAAAAGAATTTGGTCTTTTATACCAACCTCAAGTAAATTAATGGCTAAATCCTTATTCAGTTCAAATTCGTCTCTGTCTCGGTTTCTGATTTTGCTTCAATTTACATTTGTCCAGCTCTTATTTTCACAAAAATCTCTTATTATTTTTCAGATTCATAGTAGACCTTGTTTCGTTTATTAACGCTCCCTCAATTAGGAAAATTAAATCTTATAGCCGCTGGAGATGGGGAAGCGTATGTTCTTCTTCTCTCTTTCTCGCACTTCTATTGTTGAATTCAACTTATGATTTGTCAAATTAGGGTTTTTTTTTTTAAACAATTTGGTCGATTTGATTCTTCTGAAGTGCGACCAAACAGGGAGGTTGCCTGAATCTATCATCATCATCATCATCATCATCTTTAGAAGATGTAAAATTTAGGTTTTGAATTATGTTATATTTGTGCAGGTAAGAGTCAGCGTAAAAATATAGCTATGTTGGATAGTGATGATGATAATAGCAGCGTCAGTTCATCATCAACTGCCCGGTCTGATCTTTTGTCGGTGTCTGGGACCGATGAGGTTCAAGTTGATAGAGATAGTTTGCTAGAACAAGCTCTAGATGCTTTGTATGAGAAGAGGTTCGTGCTGGTGTTGCCCTTTGGTTTTGAAATTTGGATTTTTAGATGTTTTATACTTTGTTTTGTGATCAACGTAGTCACTTTGTTTTTATGCTGAATTGAGCTGAATTGGTGGTGGTATTGTTTTGTGGATGAAGGGGTTCGACAAGAGAGAAAGCTTTGGCAGCAATTATTGAGGCTTTCAATACCAACTTGCAGCATCAATTTGTTGAGAAAAAGTAAGCACTTGTAGATATTTCTTTTTTAATTCGTTGGATACTCCCATTCATAAAGTTGAACTAGTTATGATCAACTGTTACTTATTATCTGCTTAAATTATCTGGGTTGGTTGGTTTGTTCATGTTGTAGCAGGTTGTTTTGGTAATGTGCCCTCAGTAGTCACATTTGTTCATTCGGAGGTTCTTACATGTATTTTGTTTTCGTCTGTTTCTTCAGATTTGCTACTTTACTACATCAGTGTCTTAACTCCATTAAAAAGGGTTCTAGCAAAGAGATTGCCCTAGCATGTCATGCCATTGGTTAGCCTTGGACCTATCGTTTGTCACTTCTTTTTCCCTTTCTCTGTATTTACAACTCTTTACCAGTTTAGTATGTTGCTTTGTAGGATTATTGGCTCTGACTGTTGGTTATGGGGATAATGCACATGAAATATTGGAAGAATCAGTTACTTCTATCTCCCAAGCTCTTAAATCTCGGTCTGACTCCTTGAAGATGGTGTCGGTATGCATGATTTGCAAAATCTTTTATTTGTTTTCCAGTTTCTTTTAATTGCTGTGATGTTGAATCTCAGTCGTTTTCTGCTGGGTTGTGATTTTAGTTGCTGGAGTGTTTGGCTGTTGTGACGTTTGTTGGTGCAACTGAAACTGATGAAACAGAACGATCAATGCAAATCATGTGGCAATTGCTTCATCCTAAACTAGGTTCTAATGTAAGCATCTATTCTTATTGCTTGCTTTCTTGTATCAGTGATATCAATTATGTTTCCTCTATCCTTGAATTCGATGATTTCAAAACCACAACCCATGTTGCGAACAGTTATGGGTTATGTTTCACCAACAAATCAATTTTGCTATTTCACTTTTAGGTAGTTGCTGTCAAACTTCCTGCAGTTGTAATAACAGCAGTGGTGTCTGCTTGGGCATTTCTCTTGACGAACATGGATGGATGTTGCCTTAACTCCAAAGATTGGCAAGAGTAAGTAAACTTTGATTCGATTTTCTTCTTCATTTTCTATACTTGTCTCTTTTTATATGATAATCAGCGTGAAGTTTGCTGAAATTGATTAGACAATCATTTAACTTATCCATCACCACACCATTTGCGCAGTCCACAATGAAGAAGTTGGTGAGTAGTTAGTTTTGTCGAGACAGTTGGATACCCATGTTGTGGTTTTCTTGGTCGAGTAAGCTAAACTTAAATAATGAAATTAACTTGTCATTTCTTGCATTTGATGCAGGTCCATTTCTTATTTCTCTACTCTGCTAGATAAGGATGACAGATCTGTACGTATCTCTGCTGGTGAAGCACTAGCTTTAATTTTTGAGATAGGAAGTATAGAAAAGTTTGCTGCTGAAAATAAAAAAACTCCTGATGGTTCAGTTCCAGAAGGAAATAAATCTCACGAAGGATATACACATATACATATACTAGGACTGAAATCAAAAATCCTAAATCAAGTGAGAACCCTTTCTGCTGAAGCTGGTGGAAAAGGTTCTGCTAAGAAGGATCTTAACAGCCAGAGGAACTTGTTCAAGGATGTTTTGGAGTTTCTGGAGGTATTAATTTATTTCTATATTTATGAATCTTAATGTTTGTGTATGCTTTTGCACTGATGTTAAGTTTTTTTATGGTCAGGATGGCTATGCTCCTGATATCTCAATGAAGATTGGTGGAGACTTGCTACAAACGTCAACATGGTCGGAGCTTATACAGGTTTCTTTCTCTTTGTTCATTTACCTTTTCTTCTATTCATGCTTGGTTTGTGTTTAAGATTTTTTTCAAGCTCTCTGATTTGTGTTCTTTAACAGCTGAACTTCTTGAAGCATTTTCTTGGTGGTGGGTTTGTTAAGCACATGCAGGTTGGTTTTCTTGGCCTTGGCCTTGGCTTTGGCCTGTTCTCCTCACCTCTGATGTGATGCTTCGCTTCATTGTTAATTGCTTTTATGTACTATTAATAATTGATTTGTTTAAATAGGATAACGAATTCCTTCATGATGTCTTTGGGTTCACGCCAAAGAGAAAGCATCTCCTAGGTGTTGAACATCAAATGTCAAGCGGTGAAAAGGTCAGTTCATGCTCTTCAACTTGGCCTTTTATGGGCAGTCTTCATTCTGGAAATTGTTTATTTGTCCTAAATTGGCAGATCATCTTATGCCTACTGCCTGAACTTGAGTGTCAGTACAGTATTTGCGTTCTGAGACTCGGGATATTTGCCTAGGTAAACTATTTAACTTGTTTAGATGGAAGTTCAGTGTGATTGGTGTTGTGCTAAAACTCAAAGAGATGGTTTAAATTTAACTTTATATAATAATAATCAGTCTCTTAATGGATGCATGCAGTTTTGTTCATATTTAAGATCTAAAATTTCTCTCCTATCACTACAATATAGTGATCTCCATCTCCAGAGTCTTGAAATAATTCTCCCCTTCCAAATCTCTTGAATGAAGGCAATGCTCAGCAGGTCTAAAACACAGCATTCCTAAGAAAATCGTGTTGTGAAAAATTGCAGCTGTAAAATGGACAAACATGTACTTGACCTCCTTTTTTGTGCCTTATTTTTCTTTCAAGATATTGATATGATGCATTATTTGTTACAGAGGATGTTCCGGTCTCCAAACTCAGTCTTTAACAAAGCCAGGACCCAGTTTCTGAACAAGCAGCGTATGCTATCTAAGGTTGGTTGGTTGGTTCTTCATTCAGTATATGTATTGCATGGACTTCTCTGGTCACAACTCACATCTACCCACCCCTTTTGGTGTGGGAAACATTTCAAAAACTACTGCTCCAATGCGCATTATGCTATACTATTGTTTGTTTTCTGGGCATTTACTTTTACCTGTCACGTTTCTTTTTCGGGTGAAAAAAATAAAAAAAAATAATGCTTAATGTGCTTTATACTATTTTTTCCCCTTTTGGTATTTACATTCCTACTTTTCTGTTACCGAATTTGTTGACCTGTATAATTTCCTGGGTTATGCAGGATAGAAACGTTGGGCATTTTGCTGTTGGCATGGGCGATGAAGAAATGTGAGAAATCCAGTCTAGCAGTTCAACTTTGTATGATAAACATCCGCTGGAATCATTTATCAGACCGTAGGGTTCTTGTTATTGACATTTTTTATGAATTGGGAACAAGGGATTGGGAATGGATTTTGTGGGAGACTGTTATTGATGATATACACAGATTATTGTTATCCCAATTCCCGAGTTAATAAATCAGATCTTTCATTTTATTTACTCTACTCGTTTAGTTGTACCGTGTGGTACTACTTGTTTGTAACTACTGATTGTTATTCTGTGTTGAGTGCCATTACGAATTGTCATGATTTGGAGGATCAAGATTTCTAGGGAGGGACGATGAGGATGAAATAAGGTGAACTCGCATCTCTGGAGTGAGCAACAAAAGATATTTTATGGATTTAGATATAGCTTATGCAAGCATAAAATTTGTGTATCTCTATACACAATGCGGTGTTATTGTCTCATCATACTGCAACTAGTTGTCAGGATGAATCTCAATGACCTTTCTCCCTAGTTAGGCCTTCTTTCAATTGTCTCGTCTTAGGGAGGACTGGGATTATGACTTTCCCCTGTTCTTGGAGTTTCCTGTTTCGCAGTCTTAATTAGGCATTCTTTCAGATGTATCTCATCTTTGGAAAAACTAGAATTCATGCCCCCGGGGAGGCGAGATTTATACCCGGCTGTGAAAAGGAAGCAGCAATTTTAAAGAGAGAAGCCTCACTGAGTAGAAAATGAAGCACCTAGCCAATACGCTGGCAAGGCAAAATAGTGGCCAAGAAAATGAGAGGAAAAAAAAAAAAAAACTAAATTTGCAACTATCAAACATGAAGACTTGTAAGATGGTGGCGCTACCTTAGAATTTTCAAATACCACTGTAAAGTTGCTGCTGCCCTGTGGTTTTCATTGGATGGAATTTACTTGAGTTGTCAGTGGATGAGAGCATCCGATGGATTGGAATACTTCGAGGTCCAATTTGCTCACATGTACTCTTAATAAGTGCCGATGATCTATATAATTAAAATTGATTTGAAAGAAACATATATTATGTAACGCAAAATGCAAATAAACCTACAAATCCAGCAACAAAAATGCATTATACTACCCAAATGCAGATGCTACAATCTGGCAAATCATACTTTCTGCATATGAAGTAACAGAGATTTTCTGTTTATCAAAAGAAATTCTTTCGTATGTCTTTTAGTGATGGTCATTTTAGCTTATTAGTTCAAATCAATGCAGTAGAGAATGGCAAATCAGAACTTCATTTATAAATTAGGATAATTTGATCCCAAAACCTCACTGTCCTACGTGTATCTCATGATCATTATTCTGACACTTGACAATACAAAATGATATCAATTATATTTGACTTATAGATAGGGTAAATGAAATTGTTTTAACAAGTAAATATTTTGAAAATAATAAGGAAAAATCAGATCAAATTGTGCATAAATAATGTATAAGTAAATATTAAATCAAACAATCTGTTTTAATGTCTTTTATCTAATGCTTTGACTCTTATGAAATAAACCATCAAATTTCATAACCATCACATCAATATCATCCGACTTCTAAGGCTACATAGAGTTTTCCTTAATTGCATTTATTTGCTTTATTTCATTGTGAGAAAAAAAATGCCTGTTTGTTTTCTATGAATTTCCCAAAAACAATAATAATAATAATAATAATAATAATAATAAAAACCAATCCAATTGGGTAAAATAATTGGATTAGAATAAACCATTAATTTTCAAACTTAAAATATAAATTCAGTCAATGAAATCAGGTAATCAACAATAACAATGAAATCACCAAATTCATAAGAATATAAATTAATATAAAAAGAACAAAGGCAAATAATAAAAAAATCCGCTGACGCTTTAATTCTTCGGTTGAGCAATCGAGAAGGGATTGAGTTGGAAATGTCTCTCTATTATCCACTTCGACAGCCAACCGATTATTAAAAAAAGAAAAAAAAGTCAAATTTAACTTTAAGAAAAAACAAAAAAGTCAAATTTCACTGTTGAGACAAAATTAACGAAAATACGAAAGATGTCAATATGAGGATCTTATTTTTCAATTACTGAGAGACAATTAAAAGCGAAAGAAGAAAAACACGCTTCCTCTCTCTTAAAAACCAATCGATTTACTCTTGAAAAACCAAGGGTTCACCTCCATGGCTGCAGCAGAGAAGAGGCAGAGAGATGAACGGCTGAGATTAGAACAAAAAATAACTTCTATTTTTGACAAAACACGCAGTTTATTTGTGTTTTGATCCAAACGACATTGTTTTTCAAGCGCAAAATCACTGTTTCATCAAACCCATCTCTTCTAGTTTCTTTAATTGCTATAAACCTCAGTGGTCTGCTGGCTTGTGCATGGTTAGCCTAGTTGGACGATGACAACGTAATTGGCCCCCCCTAAAAGATTATTTGGGTGAACCGCTTCAATTCTACAGGATGACCATGCCACCATATAAAACACGCACCATAAAAGAGTGCGAACTATAAAACTTAACAAAAATGTTGACCAGAGTCCAGGCCACGTAAACAGCAGGCAGACTATACAGCTGTATGAAGCTCTCAAACATTCATTGCATATCTCACCATAAATTCATAAAATTCTCTATATTTCATGTTGTATGCGCACGAGCAACCCACGAGCACCTAGAAACCAGACAATCCAGAGAAGTGCTTATTTATGGCTCTATTCTTCCTGTTGTGATGATTACTTCCTCTTCCCCACCCTCTACCTCTAGGGTTTGGAGCATTTTCTCTCCCTTGAATCTCAGAGCCATCAGACTTGTTGTCTTGGTTCTCATTCGATTCCTTCAGCCTTCCTCCTCTGTTACTTCCCCTGCCCCTGGCCCGACCTCTGGAATTCCCTGTATTCCCTCTTCCTTCTGTCTCAGGTTCATCAGACTGGTCCCGATCCTGCTCATGATACTCAGCCAACTTCTTAGCTGCACCTAGGGGAACATTACCACCACGTCCAAGACCATAAATTAGATCTGCCTGCGCTTGATTAATAACAGAAGCTTCATTGGCATTTGCCACCCCAACCGAACCTGCAACCTTGTAACTATAGTTCTTTCCATCCTTTACATAATATTGCGGCTTTTTCCTGGAGCCCCATTTAGTATTAGGAGTGGTTTGAACAGACGTTTCAGTTTCAGTCCCTGAAGATATCCCTGAATTAGAGTTTATTCTGTCACCTAATAATTCATTCTCCTCCAACCTGGACTCAGCAACACTCAAACCCAGATCATCAAAGGAGTCGTCATACTCATCTTCATACTCATACTGTGAAATTAGAGCAGCCATCCTTGCTGTATCCTTGTGATCTCTGGTATCGGCAGTATAGTGATCAGGCATGTCGTTAGGCTTTCTGACAAATCTTCCTACTGCAGATGATGATGAAACAGAGGGACCGTCAATTTGTCGCTGTTCCCCAGGGACCACTGGATTAGCAGAGTGTAGTGATGTTGTCGAAGGAAGTGTAGATTCAACCAACTTCCCCTTTCCTTTATCTTTCCTGCTCACAGTTGAAGCAGTTTTGGGCAGTGACATTGTCTCTGATGAAGTATCCAAACTCTGTAGATCTTCATGGAGGGTCCCCTCTAGTATCCTTTGAATGACCTCCTCTGGATTATGGTTATAAGCTTCAAGACAGGCAGCTAGGAACCCTTTACCATAATCAGGAAAGATGTCCTTTATTTGACTGATTTTGGACTCCATGATGGCAGCATGTTCATCCATCTGCACTTTGTTGCTTGCAAGGGCAGTTGGGAGAGCATGTGACTCCCTAATGGTGCCTTTCAGAGTAGGTGTCATTATCCCAGATAAAAAGTGGAGCTGTTCATCATCCATGAAAATCCAGCCTACAGTAAGAAAGATAAATATCAAAACCTGAACCATTGAGTTCTTCTACCACACTCAGGTACCATCAAGAATCATTCATGCTACTGATGAGTAGAAAATATAAGTGGATGGCTATCCGAAAGGCTGAACCACATGATACATCTGAGTTTAGGTGTTGTCATGTGGATAGCAACCCATGTACCTACCATGCCATGCCAACTGACTAAGTACATACTCACAAGGACGTGTAGCTTGCTATGAAGCAAAGGCTGCATCACGTGGATTCATACATTCAGGACCCTTGAGATCCTCAAAAAATAGCCCCTTCACCGAAGGTGGCAATTGAAACATTCGGTTCGATTACACAGGCAATGCCATCCTACTATGGGATGTCTTGAGTGGGATACCTATGAGCTGTAAAACATGTACTGACATTATGAATGAAAAGGAACCAAATCCCTCTTGCTTTTTCATCCTGCAATGTAGTTTTTTTCATCCCCAATTATTCAATGTTATTGAGACCCACAAAACTTTTCATTATTCTTCCCCAAATATTCAATATTGAGGGTCCTAATTTAATTTTTTTCATGTATTTTTCTATTCATTTCCAAAGAAAATAGACGAGCAATTCTGGCCCAGAAATGATAAATAACGGACATATCTATGCGTAATCATCAAAACTAAGCAAATCTACAAGTATTACTAGAAAGCACTAGCACTGCAATAAAGTGAAATTTGTTACAATTACCGGCATTTTGTAAACTCTGAAGCCTGCTCATTATGTGATGATTCTTATCAAGATTCTGAAGGAATGTGTCCTTGCTCTGGTTTTCCTGAGCATATAGCAGAATGCCATTGATCTCCCTAAAAGTTTGAATTAATATGTCTGCCCTTATGACAGGATCCTCAACTTTTGCTGGAAAAATCTTTGTTACTGGTGGAATGGGAAGGCAATCTTCAAAACTTTGATCACTTAAATAGCAAGAGTCCAACAATTTCCATCCAAATCTGGACAGTCTCGTCGATAACATCTTTAAACTAACTGCAACATTCAATATCATTCCATCATCACATCCGGTCAAGATGACCCGGAAGCCATGCTGCAAAGCTGGAATTAAAGTATCATGCAACCTTGCTAGGGTGATCAGCATTTCCTCATTCCCATAACTGCTTGGAACGGGAATTTAGTATCAGAGAGAAGAAAAAAATTTCTAGCTATCACGATGAGAAAAGTAACAGACCTAAAAAGTACCAGCAGAATTACTGATATAATTGTAATCCCGCCAGCAAGTAGATTGTTGGCATATTAAAAATATTACATTAATATGGAAAAAAAAAGGCCCATGTGATATACAACCACAATTCTTTGTGATGAAAACAACTCCTGACTCTTCTAATATAATAAACTAGACAATGCAAGGTTTAAACAGGTACCTCATTTCGACAGGGCATGAAAAGAACACAGCTGCTGATTCATATGCAGTAACAAAAGCATCCATGGAGACAATTGCATCATTTATAAAGTCCATCACCTGAAAGGGGAACAAAATATGATGATATAGCACTTGATCAGCCTTAAGAGCAGGGGGGAAAAAAAAAGAAACAAAATGTAAATACACTATGACTCTCCATCACAGTAGGAATCAATCTGTGACAGTACTGAATTAATGTTTCAGCCAATTATCTTATACAAGGTCAATTTCAGTCTACAAGATCACAGCAAGTTCTTTCATAGAAATCTTTCAAGTTGAAGGAAATTAGACCACATATTTTGAAGCGAACAACAATTATATCCCTTTTTAATGAAATATAAACATGGGACCATAAAAACAATATGCCATTTTCTTGCAAGTCAAAGAAAAAAAAGAGCAGCAGTTAGGGAAGGAAAAACTTACTGTCGTTAATTTACTATCAAAAGAACAGGAAAAACTCACTTCTAAGTAATCAGTTAGAAGCGGACTGGATCTTTGGCCTTCATGGCTTCCAGAGGAAAATAGCACCTGCATAAAATCAGTCAAAAAGTTTATTGGGTGATTCATACAAAGTAATCACACATCCACTTCATGATTAAACTATCAGAAAACTCCATGGATGATTTCATTTGTAACAGGTCATTTATTTGTCTCTGCGTATCTATTTCACATTCTCACATCAGCTATAATCATTAGACGAAAATGCAATTTTTCCACCACCCAACCTGACAATCATAGAATATACCTGATCTAATTGCAACTTTATAAAATTTTACCTCCAACTGATAACCTGATTTGATTCTAGGTACTTCCCTCATAAATTTCCCCACCTTTTTTGTGATAAAACATAGGTTCTGGAAACGTTTACTTTAGCAACTCTACCCATCTATGGTGAAACCCCCTTGCATGGACCTTTGCTTAGTTTCCGATGTGTGTTCTTTTTATAAAGTACCCTGCAGGGGCCCTGATTTTATTTATCAAAATCATGGTCATTTGGTGTTATATTTCTATCCATGTTCATTCACTTTCTGCACTTCTTTACCGAGTGATCCATTGGTTCGATGCCTCAGTACTTCATGCAACTTTGTACATAAAGGCATGCAATACCAAATAAATATGTAATAGTAATACAAAAAGTGGTGAAAATAAAATAAGTTGAAGTAACAAAGGTCAATTGAGATCCCAGGAAACAAATATTGCGAATCTATACCCAGCCATCCTTCCTTGCATGAAATATAGAAAAGAACCCTTAACTATCAGCAAATAATAATAATTTTACACATGACTACAAGGCATTAGAATATCCTAATATGGAAAGTTTAGAAAAATACCTCCAATGATGAGATGCAACGTTGATGCATAGTGTGAATGATGCCCAGGAAATGCGTCATTAAAGTGGGCAGACTATCATGGAGCCAAGGCTGGGCTTTCAAGGCATTCTTGACCTGGAAGGGAGAAATATGTGTGAAAGAGCATTTGACTAAAACTCAATTGAAGTATCACACACGCAAGCAGTGTCCAGACATACAATGCCAACCCTGGAAATGTCAGCTTTAATAAGCATCAACCAAAGGAGGAATTCCAAAAACTTTTTAGGGTAAATGGCTCAATCTATCCTTTTATAATTGGTCAAGTCTCTAATTTGTCTTTATGTTTCTAATTGTATCTATTATGTCCTTGCACAATATCCAATTCTCCAATATGTCCTTCAATCCAGTTTTTTCACTCAAATTGACACAATTATACTTTTCATTCCAAAATTGCCACTGAGCTATGCTAGAATACAATTTTGATTTTTTGAAAAAAAAAGGTTAAAATCTTTATTTTCTAAAATTTTAATGTTAAGAGTAATCTTGAAACTTTTTATTTCTTAAAACATTTTAAGCAATTTTGAGAAAAATTTCTAATATATTCTTATATAACTCAAAGGCAATTTTGAAATGAAAGGTATAATTTTGTCAATCTGAGTGAAAAACTTGATTGAATGACATATTGAAGAATTGGATACTTTACAAGGACATAACAGACACAATTAGAAATGAAGAGACATAATGGAGACTTGTCTAATTATATAAGGATAGATTGAGCTTATTTACCCTACTTTTTAAAAGAAAACTCTTTCAATAGATTTCCACTTTGACAGGACAAGGCAGCTTGAGAAGAGAAAATTCTAGTTGTCTGAATATTTAAGAGCAAAATCCTCCTTTACGTGGCCTTCGTTGCTAGTTGATGTACATGTTTTTTGAAGGTCATTCAAATTGAATCTGTCAGTGCAACCTTCAGGTCCTTGAAGGCCAATATTGTTGACAAAAATCACTAAAATTGGTATCTTTCAAGATCTGTTGTTGCAATACAGTGCAATGAACAAGGAACAACCAGATCTTGAAGAAACAAAATCATTCCCTGGGTATTTGAATCACCATAAATAAAGTTAATGCATTGTGTCTCTCACAGTTGAACAATTAATTTCCTGGCATCCCACGCAAAATATCACATTTCTTTTTCTGACATGCATTAACTCTATACTATACAGAGACTAAATTTGGCAACCGAAAATTAAGTGAACATTCACTAAAAGCAAAGGTCATATAAGGGTCATATAAGGTGCCCTTAGCTTCTTGAGTATAACAGAAGGAGGACAAAATTAAGGATCTCAAGTTAGTACAGCCTTAGTTAAAAATAGCTTTATGTAGAAAAAGTTTCACATCTATTGCAAGAGAAACACAAAGAAGATGTAAATGCATCAGAGAATGGCAGATTTCTTTCAGAAACTCACCAACAATCTGGTCAATTCTTCATTTTCATGACCATAAATGGCACATATATCCAACAACTTAGGCAAGTCCAGTAACTTCTTTTCCTGCAAAAGGACTACATGCATAATTTATGAGCAAAATGCGCATGGAAAATTAAAACTGGAGCAAGGATTTACGTCAATATGAAGTCCAATTATGTGGCATTGGATGTATTAGGATAAGTTTACAACCCACCGGCATGATCCTTTGAATTCAAGGTTGCAGCAGCCTGAACACCCGGATCCCTATTAGAAGATCTGCAGCAGCAACAGCATCAAACTCAAAGTCAAAACCACAAAAATAAAGGGAGAGACATGGTTGCCAATATAGAGAACGAGAACTTACATGCGATACAATACCATGAAAACACGACGACATAAGTCAAGCTCTCCAACAATCACCCCTGCAACAATTCCTTTGGCTCCACGATGTGGGAAATCATACCATCTGCTCCTAAATTTCAAGAAGCTATCCAGAAAATCATGCAACGATACATCACTAGCCACTGAGATAACAGAAAATAATAAAGATAATCAGAACAAAATTTCCTTTACAATAAAAATTATATATTAAACTGCTCCAGAATTTTTTATAGCAACCTGAAATAATTCCAACTGTACCGAAAATAAAAAAAAAATACTAACAAATATTCAATCTTTTTTTTTAAAAAAAAAAACGAGAGTGAGTTGCAATTAAAAGAGCTACCTTCTTTCCAAAATTCTTTAGGTTTCAACTTGAGTAACCGAGACAATTCTCTATTCAAAAGATCAACAACTCTCTGCGATTCTACTGGATCCAACCCTCCTTCATCGGCACCAAGTCCCGCAGCCACAGCCTCATCCTGCGGCAAGTAAGTTACAAATTTTCCACCGCCCTGAACACCAGCTACAGCTTTTCTCGACACCCAGGTTTTGTCATCTCCCATATGAATCCTACTCGATGACTCCCCTGCGCCACTATTACCGGTGGATGATGGGGCGGCGGCGTCGGATTGATCTGAGAGCGATTGCCTTAGAGAATTGGAAAGAGTAGGGTTGCAGTTAGGGTTTTGATTTTTAGGAATGAATTTTGTTTGTGTTTTGGGGAAATTTCTGCTACTACTATTGTTATTGCTTCTCCACTCTTCTTGTTGTTGCCTGTTGTTGTTTTGAGAGTAACGGCGCGACATGATTTTCTTTTTCCAATTTGCGAAATGGATTCACAAATACAATGCACTAAGGAGATATGCAGAGGTGTCAGTGTGGAGAGAAAGAAGAAAGAAAGGATTTGCTCTCTCGGCTAGAACGTTCTTGGGGGCGATGACTGATGAATAAGCGATGAGCGTCGAGTCGCGCGTTACAAATTTTTGCTGGCATCCAACGTGTCTCTTTTATTTAAGTGGGCTAGACGCCCAAAACTCTTCTCAGTCCACAAAAGGATCCAACACCGTGGCCCATCTGTTTGTTTTTCTTGATTGGTAAAAGTAGGCTGGTATCATGCCAGGGATAAATTATTATAAATGTTTATAGTTGTACAGTTGTACTCTCCTCCTTCCTAGCAGTACGGGATTAGCTATGAAAATAATTCATGGATTTTATATTTCTGTGACAAAGTGAAGTACGATAGCGGATACATTAAATAATTCTTTTATATTTTGAATTTTTTTATTGTTAAAAGTTGTGAAACTCATTTTTAAAGAAATTTTATAATACGTAATGAGTAACTAATGATATGTACGCTAGTTACTCTATGAATCCATTTTGAGAGAGAGATAGACACATAAAAAAAAAAATCACATCTACCCACAAAAAAACGATAAGAAGATTTTCACATTCGCATAACTTTTTTAATTTTCTCTCTCTTTTTTATATATCTATTTCTCTCTTTAAAGTGGATCCATAAAGTAACTACTATAAATATCACTAATTACTCTTTATGTATTATAAAATTTCTCCACTCTCACATGTGTTTTCTCGTTATTATAAATTTTAATAATAAAAGTATTAGAAGTCAAGACTTTATGGCCACCTTGAATGTAAAGAGGTAAACATTTACTCAATTAGAATTGTCAAGATCAAAATCAACATGAGAATAGAAGAACATCAATCAACTAAAGATCATATAAAAAGTTGGTTATTTACTTATTTGTGAGGTGGGGTTTTGATAAACGACTAGTCGGTGAATTGTTTAACATACATAAAATTAGTGTTGTAACTTATAAAACTAATACTTATCTAATTAAGAATAATAAATGCAACTAGTGAAAAACGTGAAAGAAAAATGAGACAGTGTTAGTAAGGTGAGAATCGAGTGGCAAGCAAATAGATAGTATAAACGAAAAAAGAGAGGAGGCTACTTAATTGCTCACTATCAATAACTTATTAGCTTAAATTCCGAGTCATTGTAGTTTATGGAGACAATTAATTACTCCTTAGTATGAGAAAAAAATTAATAATGATTTGATGAATATTTGACCATAAAATAAATAATGGACCCGTTACTTTTAATTTTGATATCTAAACTACCTTTACGTGTGTGTATAAACGAGACAAGCGCTATGATTTTTTTAGGCAAAAATCCCAAGAAAAGAAATGATCCACCCAAACAAAATCTTTTTTTCAAAAAATCATCAATTATTAAATCTTATGGCAAAAGAAATAATAGTAATTATAATTTCTTGAACATTAGCGAGCTGAATTGAGTTAATGATGTTCGAAACCATCGGGGAGTTTGTCAACTATTTTACTTTGTAACATTTATTAAATCATTAATTACTTTGTTTTCCTATTGAAGTATTTATCCTCACAAATCGTGAAGTATTTTAGTCAATTTTGTTATTGAAATGTTGATGTGGTAATTAGCTCTTGGTTAGGTAGGTCTATGTTGATAATATTTTAATTTTTTTTTAAACATAAAGAGCTATGAAGTATTTGCACTTTAGGATTGTTTCTATTAGAGCACTTGTATAAATTTTATTTTTTTTATTTAAATACTTATATTCATAAAATTTGATCAATCATGTATCTCATTTAGTTATTATTAAATTATAAATTAGTTCATCTCATTTGGAGAAATGAATTAATTAATTCTTTTGGTTTTAAAAAATAAAAATTTTAATTACTCGTTGACCACAAATAATTTATTTTTTTATTTTATTTTTTATTCATTCTCTATTTCTTAAAACAAAAAATAAAAGCATTGAAATAGCACAAACGACAAAAAAATTAGTCTTTGAACCAAAAATACTAATTAATTTGTTTCTCAAAAAAAAAAAGTGAGACTTATTTATAATCACTTTTGAACAGCATGTGGCTCGGCTTGCCAAAAACAAGAAGCAAAAAAACATTGAAAGAAGATAGGAGTATAAAATGCTCAATCTGGAAAAAAAATGATGAAAAAAGGCCTACAAAGAAAATTAAAAGGAGAATTAGTCAAGGGTAAAAAATTGAGTTTCCCAAATTCATCGAGTGGCAAAAGAGAAATTAACGAAAAGCCAAGGGGCGAAAAATCAAGCAACACAATGAATAGTGAATTTAAATCTAAAATAATAATAAATAAATAATAAATATATCGGTTCTTGTAACCCCCGTAAAAACCCTTATCCGTAACGCGACGTGTATTAGAATAATTCTATATATATGTATATTAAGAGTAAGTGTAATTATCATTTCATCGTGAGAAATTAATGCTTGAAATATGTGATTTATGTTAAATTAAAGTTATTGTGCTTAAGATTAATGGTTTAATTATTAAAGAAATTAAATATGCAAAATCGGTGTTTTAAGGACTATATTCTGCTCGAGTTTTGTGTGAATTATTTGAGGCCTTTAGAGTACTTTTTGGGTCAACCTTAAAGAATAAAAGTTGTTCATATATGTGTTTAATAGGTCTGTATAAAATTTTATAATATTTGGACCTATACATTAAGAGTTATACCAATTATAGTGAGGGTTGTTTTGAAATGCATTCTGCTGAAATTTTGGGAGAAGAATCGCCCGAATCTTGTGAGATTTATTTGATGCTCGTTAGATTGATTTTTGAGAAAAACGTAAAGAATAAAAGTTGTTTTTTATGTGTGTACTAGCTCTCTATAAAATTTCATAAATTTTGGATACATATAGAAAGAGTTATGCACATTTTAGTATAGATGGGTTAAGAGGAAACACTCGCTGGAATTTTAGGGGGAAAAGAAATTCCGAATTTTTAAAAATGAAAATTTCTGAATTTTTATGAAAGAAAGTAGTTTTAGTTACTTGAATTAAGTTAATTAATGATTTTAATTAGTCTAAATTTTATATAGACACCTAAGCAAATGCAATAAATGAATTTATGCCAACTCACCCATTATGGATTCCAAAGCGACCGACTTTCCTCATGACTCACCCATAACCTTCACACCTTATCCCATTAATTTCTAACACTTGTAGCTGAATGAAAGTAAGTATATATATATATAGCAAGTGTTAAAATAGGAGAAAAACTTTAGCAAACCGTAGGTACCGGAAATTGAGAGAGAAAAGGCAAGAAAGAAAAGAGAGGAAGAAAAACGTGAGGAGAGAAAGGAAAGGAAAGAAAAAGAGCTAGGAAAACTATATTCAAACCTAAAAGAGGTAAGTAGGTTTCATTTTCTTGGCTGATTAATGTCTTAAATTATTTTTTTAAAGTTATTTTGTTAGTGTTTATTTCATGGGTTGTAATAATCTTCATTGGTTATATGCTTGATGCTTGGGATAAATCTATGTATGGATGCCTTTTTGTGATGATTTATGATGTTATAATTTTTTGTAAAATGTCCAAGTATGTGGTGATGGGTTGGATTGAACTTGGACTAAATTTAAGTGAACTAAAACATGTTTAAAATTGGCTTGGAATGAACTAATAAATTAGTGTTAATAAGGAGTAAACTCTGTCCGAATTTTGGGGTGTCTATTCAAGGATTTTAGATCGATTTCTAGGTGAAACTTAAAGCATAAAAGTTGTTCATCTATGTTTCAAATAACTTCCTTTAAAATTTCTTGGTCATTGGATTAGTGTACAAAGAGTTACACCCGATTTAGTATGGATAGCTCTAGATAAACTACTATTAGGCAGATTGCTCCCTAAGTTTCAAAAATTTGTAATTAATTGTGTACTTGGTATTTAGACCTACTTTTTGGATATGTTATAAATAAATATGTCTAGTATCTAAAATAAAATGAGTAAGATTTAATTATGTTCTGAAATTAGAAAATTATTTACTCAATTAGGAGTTGCCCGGTAATAAACCCTAAAACCAAAAAAATTAGACTTTGACAAAATTAATAGGTTTGGAATAAACTAAATGAGCTTGGACTAAATAAAATGGAATTAAATAGAGTCAATGGACCTAGGATAAAGTTAATGGGCTTGGATTAAATTAAATGGACTTGGACCTTCTTTTAAATATTAATGAACCTAATGAACAATATTAATGAGCGGAGATTGTGTTCCCACTTGTGGGTATCATGATTGGTATGTGAGCAATGGATAAATTCCGAGTGTGAGTTGGACCGTGAGTATGGCATGAGAATGAAGGGTTGGTACCCGAATTTGGTTGAATGTGATTAAATATGTCATCACGTGCATCATGTGCATAGTGGGTGGTTTAAGACAAGTCAATTGATTGAGAAACGGTTTATACATCTAGATTTGATAACCTAATTGGAATAAGTGGGTATTAGTAGTCCGAGTACTCTAGGTCGTGTGCTCGCACTATTAGACGATGGATTTTCGCTGATAGTAGTTACAACGAGGAATAATTCCGTTGTAACGGAAGATGATCCGAGGATCATCTGGATGAAATCAAGTTGTGTGCTTGCACTCGTTAGACGATGGATTCCCGCTAACAGTAGTTACAACGAGGGATAATTCCGTTGTAGCAGAAGGTGATCCGCGGACCACCCGGATGATAAATAGAGTAGACTGGCTAATACCCGTGGTACCCGAGATTAAAATTTATGAGTATAGTGGGAAGTCAAAACAACATTGCATATCACGTGCATCACCCCGCTTACCGAGCTTCGACTCACCATGTTGTTATTTTTTTTATGTCTTGACGGAAAAAGGACAAGTTGGTACGGATGCGGCTGGCTCCTCTTAACCGGCTCATGTGAGGCACCATATATTAGTTTTTATTTTGTCCGTAAATTTAGGGTATGGAGTTCGTAAGAA